GAGTTTTCCCTCGGTTGACTGTGGCCCCGCCCCCAGCGTGCCCGGCGTGGTCGCGTCACTTCCGGTTGACGCGCATGTCGGGGTGGGGCTCCCCCCGGGGCCTCTGGGGCGGGGGTTTCCCCGCCCCCCGGGGGGACTTGGCAAGCCTACGGAGAGGAGAGCTGACGGTTTACGCTGAGGGGAATTTGTCCTCTGGTACCTTTTTAAAAAACGAAAGGTCAACAACCGTGTACCTTCTGTAATTTCTTCCTCTTTAACAGAAAAAACAGCTCATACGCACTTTTTAAAAAACGTTATGCACTTTTAAAAAAATAATTGAGTGTTCTTGCCCGCTCAGTGAACATAAATAACAGAGCGGTATGGTTGGCTCCTTGAGTGAGAAAGGGCAATTGTGGGCTAACTCGATCTGTACCGGTGTGATGCTGTGCATGTATTCTGCAGGAGGTTCCGTTTATAGCCCACACGGATCTCAGTTTCGCTGGCCCAAGCCCAGTGCCGGCAAACAGCAAGTTGAGTCGGGTGTGTCGTATCACAAGCCTATTGTGCTGCCTGAAAGTAACCAAGATCTCCCGCTCTTCTTCCCCCACCCCCCTCTAGAATGGCAACAAAGACGGCTCCCTTGACATGCTGGGCACAGATATCTGGGCAGCCAATACCCTCGAGCCCTTCAGGTAAGCTCGTCTTGGAAGGGCACTGATAACCCTCTTCTTCCCCTTCCATAAACAGGCCAAATCTTGCTGCTTGGTGTAGTGGTTATGTGTGCGGACTCTAATCTGGGGGAATTCCAGTGATTCCCCACTTCTCCACTTACAGCTGCTGGATGACCTTGGGCAAGCCGTAGTTCTCTCAGAGCTGTTCTCTCAAGAGAAGGTCTCGAAAGAGCTCTCTCAGCCCCACCTACCTCACAGGGTGTCTGTTGTGGGGAGGGGAAGGGAAAGGAGTCTGTAAACCACTCTGAGACGCCAAGTGAAGGGCGGGGTATAAATCCAACCTCCTCCTCCTCCTCCTCCTCCTCCTCCTCCTCGCTACGGTCTGTGGTGGAAGCTTGCCAAGTGGCCTAGGGCCAGTCACGTTCTCTCAGCCTAGCCTACACCACAAGGTGGTTGTTCTGAGGATAAAACGGAGGAGGAATGAATAATGCTGTCAGCTGCTTTGGGTCACCATTGGAGAATAGCAGCAGATGTAAATTTTAAAAAAATCTTTTGAGTAGCAATCATGGAATTCCATTTCCACACCATCTTCTCTGACTTGCTTCTCATTCTGTTCAGTAGCTCGGGGGTTGCCAGGGGAGATTGGCAACCGGTGGAAGAGTTGAGGGCGGACTCGGAGACATGGTGAGGGGTACCCTTGCCAGTATGATGATGTCACTTCCTGGGAAAACCCTGTTTTTCTCTACCTTAAGGAATCTCAAAGTGGCTTCCAGTCGCCTTCCCTTCCTCTCCCCACAACAGGCACCTTGTGAGGGAGGTGGGGCTGAGGGAGTTCTGAGGGGACTGGGACTGGCCCAAGGTCACCCAGCAGGCCTCCTGTGTCTCAAAGGGGCTGACCATCGCCTTCCCTTCCTCTCCCCACAACAGGCACCTTGTGAGGCAGGCGGGGCTGAGAGAGTCCTGAGAGGACTGGGACTGGCCCAGGGTCACCCAGCAGGCCTCATGTCTCTCAAAGGGGCTGACCATTGCCTTCCCTTCCTCTCCCCACAACAGGCACCTTGTGAGGCAGGCGGGGCTGAGAGAGTCCTGAGAGGACTGGGACTGGCCCCGGGTCGCCCTGCAGGCCTCCTGTGTCTCAAGGCAGCTTCCAATCGCCTTCCCTTCCTCTCCCCACAAGAGGCACCTTTGCGAGGCAGGTGGGGCTGAGAGAGTCCTGAGAGGACGGGGACTGGCCCAAGGTCACCCAGCAGGTCTCACGTATCTCAAAAGCGGTTTACAATTGCCTTCCTATCCCCACAACAGACTTCCTGTGAGGCAGGTGGGGCTGAGACAGCTCTGAGAGGACTGGGACTGGCCCAAGGTCACCTTGCAGGCCTCATGTGGAGGAGTGAGGAATCAAACCCGGTTCTCCAGATTAGAGTCTGCCTCTCTTAACCACCACACCACAGTGGTGCTGGGCCTGATGGCAGATCGCTTTAGGTATCACTGGAAACTCTATAGGAAAACCACAGTGCTGTTGCAGGCAACAGGAGCTGGGGATGGGTGATCCCCGCCCCCACCGGGGGCTTGGTAGCCCTACTTAATTCTGATTTTAGTCTTGAAAGTCCTTCTCAGCTGTGTTTTGGCCCTCTCTTGGGGTGTTCCTGGTTTAGCAGAGGAGTGTTTTAATAAATGAACAGAGTAACGATGCCTGTTCGTTAGAGGCTGATGCAACCTCGTTTTGTTTGCATGCAGAAGCACAAATGGTCCGGGCCTGGCCAGATGGCTCCTTGGCTAATGTACTTGAGACCCGTTTGGAACGGGTGTTCCTCCAGTCAGCATCCGGCAATCAAATGCTGAAGGCGGGGAGAGCCGGAAGATGAAATTGTAGCAGACGGCAGATTTTACTCCACTGATCACTCCAGAACGCTGGGCTGCCTTGGCATCAGTACCTAGATTGGTTTCTCCCCAGGTCTCTGCAGCTACAGAATGCAATACAGAAGCCCCCTTTCTGTATCTGAGCCTAAACTGGGGTTGCCAACTGCCCAGCCGGGTCTGGAGACCTGCAGGCATTGCAACTGATCTCCAGAGGACGGGGGGTCCGTTTCCCTGGAGAAAACGGCTGCTTTGGAGTGTGGACCCCGGAGCGTCACGCACCCACTGAACTCCCCCCCCCTCCCAAATCTCCAGGAATTTCCCAACCTGGATTTGGCAACTGTACTCTACATAGTCCTGGTGAATTTGGTGTAGTGGTTAAGAGCGTGGACTCGCATCTTGGAGAATCGGGTTTGATTCTCCACTCCTCCACTTGCACCTGGCTGGATGGCCTTGGGCAAGTCATAGTTCTGACAAGAGCTGTCCTTGAAAAAGAGCAGTTTGTGTCAGAGTTCTCTCAGCCCCCACCCACCTCACAGGGTGTCTGCAGTGGGGAGGGGAAGGGAAAGGAGTTTGTAAGCCGCTCTGAGACTCCCTTGGGTAGTGAAGGGCAGGGTATAAATCCAATCTCCTCCTCCTCCTCCTCCTCCTCCTCCTCCTCCTCCTCTTCTTCTTCTTCTTCTTCTTCTTCTTCTTCTTCTTCTTCTTCTTCTTCTTCTTCTTCTTCTTCTTCTTCTTCTTCTTCTTCTTCTTCACATGCAGTTGCTGGTGTGACCTTGGGTCACTCACAAGTCCTTTCAGAGCTGTACTCTCAAGGGCAGTTCCTGTTATGTTCTAAGTTATGTTTAAAGCTGCAGTATTCCGGTTTTCTCTGTTGGGATTGGCTCCCTAATAAAGACTGCCTATTGGTCCTAAAGCCATCACAGAACGTCCTATCCTGAGGCTCTGCTTAGGTCCAATCAGATCACCTGAATCTGGTAACACTGTATATGGTTCAGTTATGGAACCGTACAAGTTTGAGTGCCGCTCTTGGCAGAGCAGGCCTGATCGGAGCAGTGTTTTGAATAAAGCCTTTTATTTTGACCATCGTCTGCTGCCTTCAATACCTAAACGTTCCCAGTCAGAGCTCTCTCAGCCCCACCTACCTCGCAGGGTGTCTGTTGCGGGGAGGGGGAGGGATTGTCAGCCGCCCTGAGACTCCTTCGGGTAGTGAAGGGCGGGGTATAAACCCAGTCTCTTCTCTTCTTCTTCTTCTTCTCTCCTCTTCTGTTAGACTGTATCTCTGTTTTTGCACGTCGCTGAAATATATGCAGGCTCATGTTTGTTTTTCATGGAATCATAGAGTTGGAAGGGGCCATACAGGCCATCTGGTCGAACCCCCTGCCTGATTTCTCCCTGATCGGTTTCAGTTCAGGTGTTTTGTCTCAATATAATCTCCCTCTTTCTCCCCCCTGATGTCTTTGTAGCGGTGCCACCTGGGACTTGCAGCCTGAAAAACTTGACTTCACGCAGTTTCACCGAAAACTCCACAATACTCCCAAACATCCTCTCCCGCACATAGACAGAGAAGGGTGAGTCACTGTCGGAACAGACAAAATCTTTTAAGCTTTGCTTTGGGACTGTAGGTTCTGGACTGTACGTTTGCTATGGGACTGTAGGTTCTGGTCTCCTCATCTGGTTCCAGGATGAGGAGCCACAGGTGAGAATCCTTATAATCTTTTTGTTTGTTTTGCTTCATTTATGCCCTGCTGCCTTCCCAGTGGCGACCCGAAGTGGCTTACCTAGTTTTCCTCTCTTCTGTTTTATCCTCACAACAACCCTGTGAGGTAGTAATATCTCAGGAATTCCATAAGCAGCCCAAGAACAGGGCCCTGCAGGACCATGTACAGTTCCGCAGGGCCTGCAAGACGGAGCTCTTCCGCCAGGCTTTTAATGAGGAGCCGCCCACCACTACCACCAACTATTCGTTAGTAACACTGGGGTAGCTGGTCGGCCCTATATGGAGACCGAGCTACAGTATAGTACAAGACAGATACAGCTGGACCGGGACCCGTGATCCATCTACAGCAGGGGTCATATCGTAGAAAAAGAGGTGCAGGAGCTCATTAGCATAACTCATTAGCATAATTTATTTGCATATGCCACACCCCCTGACATCACCGGAAGTGTGTCAGAAGGCAACACCCACCACTCAGACTTCACTGGATTGTTTTGGATTGCTAGCTATTGGGGGGGGGGGAGGCGCACAGATCTGCCATCACAGAGGAGGAAGAGCTGGTACCTGAATAAAACTTGGTCTTAAAGGTGCCACTGGACAGTTTTGGATTGCTAGCTATTGGGGGGGGACGTGCAGATCTGTACTCGCAGAGGAGGGAGAGCTTGTACCTGAATAAAACCTGGCCTTAAAGATGCCACTGAACTGTTTGGGGCCAGGGGAGGGAGCTCTGCAACTTACCTGGCTGCTTCTTGCTCTGACTGAGGGCTGCTGGGAGCAGGGGGCGGGGCTTGTTGGATGTGCCCGCCCCCTGGGCTCTTTACTGCCGGAGCTCCGCTCCTGTGCGCTCCTGCAGGAAATGACCCCTGATCTACAGTATACCATCTTTAGCTTGACCAGAAGACCGACATTATTCTGAGCACTTTAATTGTAATATATGATTGTTTTATCTTGTTTTTATATATCATGGCACACAGTGCCCTTAAGCGTAAGCCACCCTGAGCCTGTCCGCGGGGAGGGCGGGATAGAATAAATTCTGCAATAGCACTCTGGCATTTCTGGTACCTTACTGCCTGCTGCAGGAAGTTGATGGGCAGTAGGTTCAGGAGGGACAAAAGGAAATACTACTTTACGCAGAGAGGGAATTAAAATGTGGGATTTGCTGCCAGAGGATGTAGTGATGGCCATAGGATTTAAAAGGGGCTAGAGAGATTCATGTAAACTTCTTCACAAGCTCATTTTGTACACTAGACTCAGATGCGTCCTTTTTTCCCTTGTCTGTTCTGTAGAATCGGGAAAGGGAAATGTGAGGACGGAGACAGCATCAACCTGAACGATATAGGAAAAGTTCTCCCAGCTTGGCCGGTAAGTTTCTAGTCGTTTTATTTGTACGCCCGGCATCATGTATGCGCGGCAGATCAGTGTGAGCCATTGGACACCCAAGATTAAATCGGTAATATGCCAAAAGCCTTCTGATCCGTGCGTTTTCTCTCCGGAGGTTCTCAGATCTGCATTGGGAATATTTCCTCGTCGAACTTGCCGCTTTCTAACATTTGGAAAGTTTGTGTGAGTTGTGTGCGATATTGAGAAACGTGAGGGTTTCGGGAACCTCCCGACCTAAACTGTCACCCCCCCCCCCATTACAAAAAAAAAAAAAAAGAATTAAGCAAATTAATCAATTTTGTCAGTGCCTTACAAATCTGAAAAGAAAGCCCTTGAATTTAGCCTTTAAAGTGAGAGCCACCAGACTAAGTAATCCGCAATATACCATATATAATACAAATGAATATCTCAAAGTTGATGATATATAAACAAGACCGCAGTAAACCAGACTTAGTCCTCAGAAGAAGCCACAGGTAAACAAAACCAAACACATTTTGGCCTTATGGGCCTTCTTCAGTGGTCATAAATACATATACAGCAAGAGCAAGTGTTGTTATAATTAGCCAGACCAGGTGTTGCACATTTTATTCTGTGTGGCCAAATGTTGACATGATAAAGGTCACGGATCCTGTCTTATTATTTGCGTAAAGGTAAAGGTTCCCTTGCTCGAAAGCCAGTCGAATCCGACTCTAGGGTTGCGGTGCTCATCTCCGTTTCAAAGCCGAAGAGCCAGCGCTGTCCGAAGACGTTCACGTGGTCATGTGGCCGGCATGACTAAACACCAAGGCGCACGGAACGCTGTTACCTTCCCACCAAAGTGGTCCCTATTGATCTACTTGCAATTTCTTGCTTTCAAACTGCTAGGTTGGCAGGAGCTGGAACTAGAGACGGGGGCTCACTCCGTCATGCGGCACCCGGGTCTCGAACTGCTGAACTACCGACCTTCCACCACAGCCTGCAGTTCAGCGTCTTAACCACTTGAGCCGCCGCAGCTCAATTTGCATGCTCACGCGTAAAAAATGTAAGATGTAAGGGGCAGTAGTAGAGCCTCTGCTTGGCATGCAGAAGGTCCCAGGTTCAAACCCCGGCATCTCCAGTCAAAAGATCTGGCAGTAGGTGATGTGAAAGACCTTTCCCTGAGACCTTGGCGAGCTGCTGCCAGTCTGAGCGGACAATACAGACCTTGACGGCCCAAGGGTTTGATTCAGTCTAAGGCAGGTTCATGTGTTCGTGTATTAAAAACCCTGTGAATAGTCTGGGAGGATGAAAACTACTTTCTTCTTGATAATGTGCCTAGGATATTCAGAAGCGTCTGCGTGTTGAACGAATCCGTGAGCGTGCCTACTCGATAAAACTCAAAGAGGTTTAAGCGCAAGGTTCTCCGTTGCCCGTCAGTAAACTCACAGTACGTTGGCAGGGGAAGGCGATTTGAGGCGCATGATCTGGAAAACCTGCCATGGCTCAGAGACAGGACCTCTGCTTTGCCTGCAGGAGTTCCTAGCTCCAATCCTTGGCCTTAGCAGCTCAGTGATCATTTAACACTGGGGTGTCAAACATGCGGCCTAGGGGCCGAATCAGGCCCCTGGAGGGCTTCTATCAGGCCCGCAGTGGAACTGGCTCTTCTGCTGCTGCTTTCAAGGTTCTCCGTTGCCCGTCAGTAAACCCACAGTATGTTGGCAGGGGGAGGCGATTTGAGGCGCATGATCTGGAAGATCTGCCATGGCTCAGTGACAGGACCTCTGCTTTGCCTGCAGGAGTTCCTAGCTCCAATCCTTGGCCTTAGCAGCTCAGTGATCATTTGACACTGGGGTGTCAAACATGCGGCCCAGGGGCCGGATCAGGCCCCCGAAGGGCTTCTATCAGGCCCGCAGTGGAACTGGCTCTTCTGCTGCTGCTTCCAGTTCTGCTGCTGCTGCGTCATCGTAGGTTTGCAGCTTACAGATACACACCTGAACAGCATACTCAAGAGTGCAACAGCAGAGACATTTTGATGCAATAATTCAGAGCAAGAGGGGTCAGTTATCAGACACTGTTAAAGAAACAAAATATTGCAAGAGTGCTAATGTTTTAAGCATGTTTTTATTTCAAGTTAAAAAATAAACCCCTTTGTGTTTGTGTCCTTTATAAAGTTTATATCTCTGCTACCTGGGGTTACATTTCATGACACACATGGCCTGGCCCAACAAGGTCTCATTTGTGTCGGATCCGGCCCTCATGACAATTGAGTTAGACACCCCTGATTTAACAGGTAATGTGAAAGACCTCTGCCCGTGTCCCCAGACAGCTGCTGCCAGTCTGAGTAGGCAATACTGACCTTGATGGACCCATGGTCTGATTCCATATAAGGCAGCGTCTTGTGTTCAAAATCTACTCCCCACCCCTTTTTTAAATTTTGTAATGTCCAGCCCGTTGAAGCGTTCTGGGGAACTCAGAAGCCCCCACACAGTGTTATTTGTCATTGGGTTGGTCCTAATAAAGGTATTACATGGATTGCATCCTTGGCCTTTTGGGTGAAGCACTAGATTAATAGTCACAGCTTCCCCCAAAGCATCCTGGGTACTGTAGTGTGGCCTGTGCGCTGTGATTTCTCTCTCACGAGCATCCCTGTCCAAGAATTCCAGAATTCTGTGGAACAGCGGTGTTCATTCCAGAGATGACTTTTGCGCCATCTGGTGTCTAATTTCTGTAAGCGCATGCTTTTCTTTAGCTGAGCGAGTGAGCGCACCTGAACTTTCCCTTGAAGCTAAAATAACTAAACTGAGGCTATGGTGACTTTGGTCACATTATGAGAGAGGAGGGTTAGCAGTTCCAAATATAAAACTTATATTACCAAGAGGCAGGCCTGGTTTGGATTGCAGATTGGATTAAAAACCCAAGGCAAAAAATAGTAAGACTTGAATCAGCAGACCTAGATGAAAGCTTACACAGTTATTTATGGATTAAGAAATCAGTTAAAATGATCATAAAACAAGGAAGAAGTCATATAATTAGAGATGGGCCCGAGAATATGGTTTACATGCTGGAATGTATTGAGCCCGCCAAATTCTCTGCTCATGTCCACAATAGAAGCTTATCATGATAAGAAATAAAAGTGATTTTTTTTAATGTACAGCAATATGGTAAATGTTCAGGGGGAAATCAAGTCCTGGCCAGCAGTGTTCCCTCTAAGCTGAGTCAGTGTGAGCTAGCTCACAGTTCTTTAGCCTCCGGCTCACACATTTTTGTCTTAGCGCTTGGGAGAAAACTCATTTATGCAGTAGCCAAATCGCTCGCTCACAACTTTAATGCCAGTAGCTCACAAAGTAGAATTTTTGCTCACAAAACTCCACAGCTTAGAGGAAGCATTGCTGGCAAGATATTAGAAATGAAGGAATCAACTTCAGTGGTTGCTATATTATCAATCAGCTTCAAGACTAAAGAAGATTATCAACATGGAAGGTGGAGCTGTAAGAGATGTGACTGAGTTCGAACAGCTGATTATAAAACAGACGATTTACTTTGATGGATATATATGTTATTACTTCAGTTAGAAACAGAATTAGAACAAGTGAAAAAAATGTATGATTTAAATGGATGCAGAATTTTAGAGACCAGATTACTATGCATCAATGGGAACGGTTCTGGGAAAAAAGAAATTGAGTTTACAGCTGGCCAGGCATTAAGAGAAAACTGATACAAACTGTTTTTTAGATGGTATATAACCCCAAAGGATATTGCGAAAGTAGACAAAAACCACATAGGGAAATATGTTGTCGAAGGCTTTCACGGCCGGAGTTCATTAGTTGTTGTAGATTTTCCGGGCTGTATGGCTGTGGGCATTGTAGGACCTGACGGTTTGCTGGCAGCTGTGACTGGCATCTTCAGAGGTATAACACAGAAAGAAGGAGTACTCACCTTGACACAGAGAGTACTCCATCTTTCGGTGTTGTACCTCTGAGGATGCCAGTCACAGCTGCCAGCGAAATCGCAGAAACGGCAGGGCCTACAATGCCAAGACCACGACCGTACAGCCCGGAAAATCTACAACAACTAACACATAGGGAAATGCTGGAAATGTCAAGTCATAGATGGAACCTTTCACCATATGTGGTAGACTTGTAAAAAAAGTAAAAAGATATTGGAACGAAATACATGGAAAAATGCAACACATATTAAAATTTAAATACCCTATGGAAGCTATGAGTATGCTATACTGCCTAATAAATTACCAACAATTTTGGAAGAGATATTCAAATATATGGTGACAGTGACTAGATTTATCTACGCAGCAAAATGGAAATCAGAGGTCTGTCCAAGCTTAGAAAACTGGGAAAATAAACTTGCCAACCATGCAGTAATGGCAAAATTAACAGCCTATTTGAGAAACAAATCAATTATGAAATTTGAGGAGAGATGGAATGTGTATTGTACAAACAAGAGAAAAATTCAGAATGAGAAACCGTTTAAAAGTTGTATATAAATGTATTGCAATGCAGAAGCAGAATGAGAACGAGATTCGAATATAAATGTATAAGGAAGTGGATTTTGAGCAGAAATATCTTTTATTTTCTTATTATGAGATATGTAATAGACTTTCCTTTGTACCTTGATATATTAAAAGTTATAGCGAGTATGTAGAAATGGCGAGATATGTAATATTGAATACGTAGTAATGATGAAACTAATAAGGTAGTTGCAAAATAGCTCAATTATGAAATTTGAAATTTCTTACACGCCCAGGGAAATGTCAATCGCCACTTTGGGGTCAGGAAGCAATTTGGCCGGGGACCCTGGAGGTTTTTTGTCATCTTCTGGGCATGGAAATTAAATCAAAAGAGTTTTCAGCTAAACATTAGAAAGAACTTCCTGACAGAGCTCAGTGCAACAGGCTTCCTCGGGAGGTGGTGGATTCTCTTTTGGAGGTTTTTAAGCAGAGGCTAGATGGCCATCTGACAGCAATGCGGATTCTGTGAACTTCAGCAGAACATGAGAAGGGAGGCCAGGAAGGGTTGTCTCAGTGCTTAGTTGTTGTGGCCCTTCCTTACACGCCCAGGGAAATGCCGATTGCCACTTTGGGGTCAGGAAGCAGTTTTTATCCAGGTCATTTTGCCCAGGGATCGTGGAGGTTTTCTGTCATCTTCTGAGCATGGAACAGCAGTCACTGGGGGTGTGGAGGGGGAGGTATTTGTGAATTTCCTGCATTGTGCAGGGGGTTGGACTAGATGACCCTGGAGGTCCCTTCCAACTCTATGATTCTATGATTCTAAGTTATTGTCTTGCCCCCTAGCATTCCCGTCAGTGGAGCCCATATAACCTCTGCCCAGTCTAGCCACCCGCTACAGCCAGCCATCTTGTTTAGGCCTCTAGTTGTTTTGGGATTTTGGTCATTGTATTCAAAGGCGTAAAGTTGGCAAACAAAAGCATTCAGGGGAGAGCACATTCTCAGCTTTTCCTAGGTGTGTGATTCCGTTGCCCTTTTCTTATATAGTGGAGGTTCTTTCCTGCTGGCAGCCAGCAGGGGGCAGCAGATGGCCACGTACCACATACCTCTTTCGCTCTCCATCAGGGATGAATGTTCAGTTCCGTAATAAAACCGTAAGCAGACACAAGCCTGCTCCACGTTGTAAGAAAAGATGATAAAGATATATATGTGTGTGTGTGTGTGTTTCAGTTGCCGAGGGTTCACATCCGTTCAGGCTTCCCTTTAACCCAAGCTGCTATCGCTATTAAAATTCATTACATAAATGATATGAAAACTGCGGCACAAATCCATTCCCCCCCCAAAAAAAACAAGCAAAGTGCTCATTAAAAATCTAGCCACCTAATGAAATCTAAAACTCATGGCCACTCAATGAAATTAAGGAGCAGTAGGCTTAGGACAGATAAAAGGAAGTCCTTCTTCACCCAAAAGAGTGATTCACATGTGGAATTCACTGCCACAGGAAGTGATGGCGGCTTCAAGCATGGATGGCTCCAAGAGGGGAACGGAGACAAGTATGGAGCAGAGATCCATGAGTGGCTGTTAGCCACAAGATATAGATGAGACATTCTGTCTGCAGCAGTGATGCTTTATATTTTTGGTGCTTGGGGGGCAACAGTGGGAGGGCTTCTTGAATTCTGGCCCCGCTAGCGGACCTCCTGATGGCACCTGGGTTTTGGCCACTGTGTGACACAGAGTGTTGGACTGGATGGGCCATTGGCCTGATCCCACATGGCTTCTCTTATGCTCTTAAGAGCAGAGGACCATGAGTGGCTATTAGCCACGAGGTATAGAGGGAACACTCTGTCTGGGGCAGTGATGCTCTGTATTTTTGGTGCTTAGTGGGCCACAGTGGGAGAGCTTCTAGTGTCCTGGCCTTGCTGGCGGACCTCCAGATGGCCCCTGGGTTT